TTGATTTCTAACATGAGTACAAGAGACAGGAGAGCTTAGCAAGCTTCATCATCATCATTCACAGATCCCAGAACCACAGGATAGCAGGGGTGTGCATTAGACTGGTTGGTTGTTCCCAAGATGCCCACGGGGACACTAGGTTATCCTCCTAAGAGACAAGTTCCCTAGGAAGCTGAGGTGCCACCTCTGAGCAGATGCATTCTCTATGATGAGTAATTTCCAAGGCCGACTGCCTCCAGTGCTCATAAATGTCACCACCCCCCAAGGTGTTTGGTACTCTGAGCACCAATTTCCCAGCCCCTTGAAGCTTTCCTCAGGCTCCCAACACTGGCTACATTGCTGCTTCTTAGTCAGATTTATGTTCAAAGGCTGAGCTCCAAGGGGTGATGGGAATGTCTCAGCCTGAATGCCCCTGACCACAAGGAAAGAGAGGCCTCACATGTTCATTTTGCAGGCCTCTGTGAGAGGGTTCTCCAGCCTATTCTTTCAGTAACAGAATTGCATTTTATGAAGCTGTCCCTTTTCTGTTTCCTCTGTCAAGCAGGTTTGCTGAGAATAATTTAAATTTCATGCAGCAGCAACTGCAGGGCATTGGTAACTCCCTTCCATTCTCACAAACAGGCCTGGCATAGAGCCATGCTTTCTCCTCAGCAATGCCCTCCCTCAGTGCCCAGACAGCCAGTGGGAGTGGGAATGTGGTGCTGGCCCTGTTTCACCTCGTGCCACATCAGAGGGGGACAGGGCAGTTCCCTGAACACCCAAGCAGCAATCACTAGGCTGATTTCCCTCAGAGGAAGAGCTTTGCAGACAGACCTAGTTGCTAGTTGTGTGTGTGTGTGTGTGTGTGTGTGTGTGTAAGTGTGTGAGTATACATGCATGTGTGCAGAGGTCAGAAGTTAGCACCAGAGGTCAGAGGTTAACATCAGGTGTCTTCTTTAATCATGCTTCACCTTAGGTTTTTGAGACAGATTTTCTAACTGAACCTGGAGCTCACGATTTGGCTAGGTTGGCTGGTCAGTAAGCCCTAGGGGCCCACCTGTCCTTGCCCACCTAGTATTGGGATTATAGGGATGTGCTGCTGTGCCTGGCTTTTTATGTGGGTGCTGGGGACCCACACAAGACCACAGTAGGCATTTTATCAACTGAACCATCTTCCCAGCCCTAAAATGAACTTTGATTGAATGCTTACTCAATGGTTCATGCCATTTTAGGGTTTTCTACACATATTAATTTACATAATCCTTATGTCAAACATACTATTATCATTTCCATTTTGTAGACATAGAATCTGAAGCCTCACTTGCAAATGGCAGGATTCAATTCCAGTCTGCCTAATCCAGAAGCTCTTGCCAGCTGTGCAGCTAGAGTTGACATACTCTTTGGCTTACACTTTCCCTTCTATGACATGAGAAGCAAACATGCCCATTTTCTGGCCTGAAATTCAGAATTTATGGTCACTAGGTGGGCTGGTGATGGCAAAAGCTGATGTCACCCTCTTGCAATGATGGTTTCCATGGTGAATGGATGCTGCTATGCAGCCTGGGGTGGAGAGAGTCGGCCCAGGCTGGATCTGTCTTGGGAAGTAGTTATGTTTTCTCTGAGCTTCACTATTCTGAGCTGTAATAACAGGGCTGGGCTGGTGGTCTCCAAGAAAGCTTGCCATGGGCTCTGGAGACTCATATGAAGGTGGGGGAGCAATGGCTATGTGTTGGGCAGTGGGAGGGTAGAATCTTCTAGACCCTCCTGGTATCTCAGTATCCCAGGAGTCTATGATTACTCAACTGGTCTTTCACAAAATATGTAGGAATTCTTAGGCCATGGACAACTGAAGACACAGAAAAATCAAATCGGGCCTGGAGGCAGCCATGGCAAAAGAATTGTCATCCTTTTGCTACCCCAGTCTCTGGGAGCATGAACGCATCTCCAGACAAGAGCCCAGACCCTCAGTCCTGGAACAGCAAGGGCTGACCTTAGCACTGGATCTCTGGCATGGAGTGTGGCAGGGATGCCCTGAGTACCCAAGAATGGGATATTCATCCTGTTGCCTTGTCTGACAACAAAGGGATGTCTCCAAAGGTCTGAGGGCTGCCCCTTATCTCTGAGTGAGCATGCTTGGGCTCTTAGGGGCGGTTCTGGCTCACGAGTAGTGGCACCGGTCCTCTCTACCAAGAGCCAGGTCAGTGACTTCAAGCAGTCTTAACATACTCAGGACAGCAGGGACTTAGTCTTGCTTCTGGTCCTATCATGGCTCCTTCCTTTCCTTGCCTTCTAGGATGGTGGGGTCTGCACTTTCCTTTGGGGAAATAGCCTTCTGGGCTGATAAAAAGTGGATTCTCGACCTTGGTCACCTGCTTGCCAGGTGTACTGATCTGAGAAGGCGCCCTTTCCATCGCCTCTCCCCTCTCTCCTCCCCTCCTAGCTCTGCTTTTACTTCCAGGCCATTTGAACAGCAACCACTCAATCCCCTTCCCCACCTGCATAAGGCTCCAGCTTTTGTGCTTTCTCTGAACTCCCTCCTGTTTTCTGGGTGATGGGAGAAGGGAACACCTCTCCTCACAGTAGGACAGACAGCTTTGTACTTCTGGGACCAATGCCTGATGTCAGTGGTGTGAAGGGGTGACCCTATTACCTAGCAATGGACCATCAGCCAGTGCCTGTTCTGTTCTGAGTACTTTACATGGAATTCCACGCATGCTATCCTCAGAGACTACTACCCAGTCCTAGAACTGAGACCCTGAGGGGTCAGTTTGTTCAACAAGACGCAGCAAGAGGTTGATTGGAATTAAAGTTTAGACAGTCATCAAAGCCTAGCTTTATCTACCATTGAATCACCTCTACCAATAACTTCACCAGGGGAGATACCGGCTCATATGGCCACACATTCATTTACATACTGACCCATAATTTCCCCAATAGCAAGAGCCAGCTCTTCAGTGGCTGCTTGGTGAAGACCTGGCTGGTTGACCAGGGAATCTGCTGACAGACATCTGGTTTTGACCTGGATGTCCACTGATGTGATCTTGGTATGGGGGCAGACACACAGGATAGAAGACAGGCATCTGGGCCAGCAGCAGTTAAGTCCAGAGTGACAGGAGGTACCATTGCCTACATCAGTGCTTCTCAACCTTCCTAATGCTGTGACCCTTTAGTGCTGTCACATGGCATGGAGCTGACCTTCATAGCAGGCCTGACCTTTTGCTCTTTCTCCCACTATGGGCTGGCCATTGGCTCAGTCCTTTTCCCAGCTGTTTTTTCCTGTCTGCGGCTTATTCTTTTCTTCCCATGTGGCTGTGGTTTGGATATCTGGCTAGGGAGGAGGGCTAGGGAAAAGTGAGCTATTTTGGAGCAAATCAAGTGCCCTGTGTCCAGGGCAGAGGCGGGACACCCCTTTAGAGAGCCACTGGCATTGTCCTTCACCTGGCAGAACCCTAAGTTACATACCCAGATGCAACTCAGTATTGGCTCTAAGACACTCATCTTGAAGGGATGGAAGCCATTAAGTATGTCTGCAGGTCCAGCTTCTCTTTCACCTGGAGCCCTGGCTGTCAGCTCCAGAGGCCGCTGTTCTCCAGATGGTGAACAGCTGGCTTTGAAGACTGCCTGCCAGATGTGGCCAGCAGGGCTGGCAGCAGGCTATCCTGGACAGTGGTCACCAATTCAGAGTGGCCAGGGCCTGGTGCCCAGGACAGGAACGTGTTTGGCTGGCCCAGGGAAGTATGCCGAAATAATCTCCCATCTCCGCTCCTGTCTGGTATTACTTCCCCCCCTGCCTTGGTGGGGTGGTGTTTTCATAACAAGAGAATAAAATCAATAAGACAATGCAGCAAGATGTCAGTGTGCTGCAAGCTGGCCTCCAATAGCTCCATTGTCTGGGGTCTCCGCCGGGCTCTGCAGCCAGCAGTGCTGTTATTAATGGGAAGCAGGGCTGAAAGGGAGTTTTGAAAATCGTAGAGACAAAGGCATAGAGCACCCGGAGAGTACCGTCCACCACCACAGCTACCTTACAATGGCTAGCCTGGGGCTTCCAGCCTTTAATTTCTCCTGCAACCTTTATGAAAGCAGGAGAAGAATAGCGTGCACACACACATGCAGCACACACATATACACCCACACACAGGCACACATGCAGGCCCCGAGAGGGCTCCTGGGAAGTGGTTCTGAATGGCTGGCAGAGGCAAAGACGGCCTGCAGAGCCTCTGCTGAGCCGAAGGGGATGATGGGATGAATGTGTTTCTTGCCTTGGCCACCAGCTGTCCCTCTATGGCTCAGTCTGCCTGAAGGGCTCTGCACAGCATGCAAGAGGGGGATTCTGAGCCCCTCTGTTCAGCCCAAAGCCAGTCAACAGCTTTGGCGACATTTATTTCCACATTCCATTTTATACACATTGGCTTTTGCCACCATTCCTGAGGTTTTTGGAACCATCTCTTGCAAAGAAAAAAAAAGGCAGTCTAGTCAGGAGCTAATACGAGGCAGTCAACTGTTGGTATGAGTCCTGGGTCCTTACAGTAGCGCTATAACTAGTATGTCTGGGAACCCTCAGCAATCAGGCAGCCATGTGTACACACTGACTTCACAGGGTTGTCATGAGGCTCATAGGGACTGCAGACATGAGAATCTCCACTGTGGTGATGAATCAGTAATGGACTCTTGATCCTTGGTGGCTAATACAGCTGCAAAACCCCAGCCACTGATGACCCCCAGGGAGACTTATATGTTTTCAGTTCTCCTATTCAGGGAATACTTGGCAATACTCTTATATCACTCATCCAGTAGTATTCAATCAGCACGTGTGTGGTGTCGGTATCTGCTGGTCTTCCTACAAGTCAGTTACATAGAGACTGTGTGGTAGTAAATGAGACCATTTTGACCTTCTGAAAAAACTGCAATTCACTCCATGGAGGCTGCGACTCTGGTGATCCAGACCAGAGAGTAAGGCCTCTATCCTGGCCTGGGCTTGAGTTATTGCCTGGCTCCTACCCAGACAGGATACCAGTTCTTACCTTGGTGGTGACTGCAGAGGCTGAGCTGGCCACGAGACTGGTGATGGCGTCATTGCTGCCCGTCGTGCAGGGAGCAGGAGCTGTGGCGGGTGTGGGCAGCCGGGAGGGCACCACGGGCAGTGGCAGGAGGCCTGGTCGTGCACTGAGACTGCTAGCTGTGCCGCCACCAGCACCGGAGGTGACACTGCAGACACTGGTGGCCCCGTGGGTCCCATTGACACTCCACTCACGGCGGTCCCAGCCTACTCGGTAATCTCTTTCGAAGCGGCTATGGTGCCTGGACATCTCGGTGGGCCGTGGCAGCTTCTCACAGGGAACCAGAGCCCGGACCTGTGAGCATAGAACACGGAAGGGCCGTTTAAGCTAAAAGTAGCTCTCTGCTTGGCCTGCAGCAGTGTAAGCTCAGCCCCTGCTCTGGGTTCACTGGTGGGTTTTCAAGCGTTAGCCAATCTTAGAGTTTCAGCAAGTTGGTAAACTCTCGATCACCTATCAGCCCCACTCCTCAGGTGATGAAGATGGATTGTTCAGGGGCACATGGTGGAATGTAATGAGCAGGATTTGAACCTGGTTACTGTCAAGTCTGAATTTTTAGCTCTGGTATGTCACCATGCCCTGAGCAGCACGAAGTGCACATCTTAATTGTGGCTGGGGCAGTACTGCCTCCTATCCCCACTGTGATAGAAGACCTCTGGCCACACTCTCTGCAAGCACAGGTCACATGACCCACATATGTGCTCACTTGAGAGTGATCACAGCCTTGACTAGAATCTCATTTGTTCCGTATAGTACCTGTGAGGCAGCAATGCACAGTCAGCCCCCAATTTACAGACAAGGAGACTCACAGACAACAAGTGATTCCCCCGAGGGCAGGGAACGAAGAGGTGAAAAGGGTACCCTGTCTCTGAAAGATGTTAGCTTCCAGGGGTCAAGTCCTCTCTCAAAATCCCAATCCTATGATTCAGTGCTACATTTCTGGGACCTGGGTACTCTGGCCTCCACTCCCTGCATCTCCCACGCGGTTTCCTGAGTATATGAACAGAAGGCCTTTCAGGGTTGTCATGGAGATTAGACGCACTGTGGTATGGGAAGGGCCTCTGAGTCACCAAGGACTGTATTTTGCTCAGTATCACCATGATAGTGCTGGCTCCTACCCAGGCAGGGACCAGTTACTCCAGTCATAAAAGAAATGGGGCTGTAGAGGGTTGGGAAGAAACAAAGGGGAGAAGGCATACCAATGTCAGGGCACAGACGAGTGGCTGAGGGTGAGGGTTTGCCCTGCACTTTACACCCACAGTCCTGGTTGTGCCTAAGGACTTTTGGTCCTATTTCATTTTCCATCCACGTCCAGTCTAGGCTATGGGCTCCTGCCTTCCATCCTGCTAGCCCAGCTCTGAAATTGCTGGATACTAGACAAGCCACTTATTTTTAAAATGTCTATAAAACCCGAGCCTCCTCTGGTCTTTGCATATCTGCCTTCATTGCTCAGGACTTGTGCATGGAAGCCAGAGCCAGTTCCCAGTCTAGGAAACCTGCTACCATGCTTGCTTATGTGGTGGCACTGCTCTGGGAGCCATTCTGTAAGGTACACAGGCAGCCTGGACTGAACCTGTCCCCACATGTAGCAGATTTGATACCATTGAAGATGGATGCTGATTTCCTGTTCAGTTCATCATTGTGCATCCAGATTCGAAAAATGTCACAAAATTCATTTAAAATATTTACAGTATTCCACGGTGGGAAAAAAAAAACCTCAAAACAACCAACACCTGCCCCACAGACCCCACAGCCATCCCTCACATTTTCCAATGGAGGCCCATGGAAGAATGGTTTAAACTTAGTTCTATTCTTTTGATTCCTGTTTACCCTGGAACCTGCTCTTGCTAAGGTTACAGGTGACCTGTTTAATTATTTCCTCATTATTATTCTTTCACATGATACACCTGCCTTTTTCTTTCTGGCTTCATCCCCTGCTCCTCAGCTGTTGAATCTGGCTCTCCTTGGATGATCTCACTCAACCACTCCCCCTTATCCGTGCCGCTCAAAGCTACTTTTCCAGGGGTGTCTCTCCCAAGTGCTTCCCCATTTTCCTTGAGCCTGCTTTATGCCACCTGGCCGCACTCCAGGTTCCTAAATGCCACAGGTCCCCAAATGAGCTCATTATTCTTTAGCCTAAATGCACATTCTCAGGAATGCCCTGCTTCAGAAACAGCCACCTTTTTATAGCAGGGTCTGAGATCCCATTACCCCACAGGCTGTCAAATCTGCCCCCATCTGCTGGCAACTCCCTCCATGTAATCTTTCCATGGCAACCACATCAATCTGGCTTCCTGCCCCCAATCCTGCCTTCTTACCCACTGCATTATTTTGAGATAGGGTCTCCCTTTGCTGCCCAGGCAAGCCTAGAACTCTCTGTAGCTCAGGCTAGCCCAGAATTCTCTGTAGCCTAGGCTGACCTTGTGATCCTATTGCTTGCTCTTTTCCACCCAACTTTTTTTGGGGGGGGGTTTCAAGACAGGGTTTCTCTGTGTAGCTTTGGA